CTACTACTACTACTACTACTACTACTACTACTACTACTACTACTACTACTACTACTACTACTACTACCTCTGCTAGTACGTGTACTACGACACTACTACTTCTGCCACTACTGGCACACGTAGTCGTACCAAGACGTAAAAAAATAGTGCGTAATGCGACGTAATAGTAACAATGCTGGAAGTAGTGGCAATAACCCGATATCCGAAGCTTGAAAGTAGCAGTCGCACCGGAAGTGGTAGCCGTATTGACATTCGGAATTTGGGGGTGAGTCCGACGTGAAACGGAGACCCCCCCTACCGGGAAATCGATTTCGGTTTTGGGTTTGCGTCGTGCGTGCCGTGCGTGCGTGCGGGCGAGGCGAAGCTGCGTTGGCGGGCGAAAAGAAATCCTCTTGTGGCTGGGCCACGGCCGGACCAAATGAATCTCCTCGGGCGGCCGGAGGCTCGCGTTGTCCCGCCGGTGTCCCGCTAGTGTCCCGAAATCCTCCTGTGACTGGGCCGCGGCCGGACCAAATGATGCTCCTCCGGAGGCCGGTGGCGCGCGGTGTCCCGCCGGTGTCCCGCTGGTGTCCCTCTTGTGGCTGGGCCGCGGCCGGACCAAATGATTCTCCTCAGGCGGCTGGTGGCTCGCGGTGTCCCGCCGGTGTCCCGCGGTGTCCCGCGGTGTCCCGGGGTGTCCCGTGGTGTCCCGTGGTGTCCCGTTGAATGAAATCGATAGTGAGATCGATGCGGCGCCCCGAAGTGTCCCGTGGTGTCCCAAAAAAGTGAAATCGATAGTGAGATCGACAGGTGTCCCGTGGTGTCTCGTTGAATGAGATCGATAATGAAATCGAAACTGAAATCGATGTGGTGTCCCGAGGTGTCTCGTGGTGTCCCGCTGAGTGAGATCGACAGTGGGATCGATAATGAGACCCATAGTGAGATCGAGAGGTGTCCCGCGGTGTCCCGTGGTGTCCCGGTGAGTGCGATCGATAGTGGGATCGGTAGTGAGATCGACAAGTGTCCCGTTGTGCCCCGTTGAGTGAGATTGATTGAGTCAGATGTTGGTTCCCCCCCTTCTCCCCCCCCCACAACCTCCTCATCACCCGAAGGGTAGTCGCATAGGTATAAGTATAACTGCGCTATTACTTGGTTGGCAATCTTTGTAGACGTGCGACCCCGCTCCCCATGTAGAATCCTTTAACATGGGGCTGGGCGGCGGCGGAGTAGGTTTCGGCCCACACCCACGTTCTCTTTGTATAGTATATGCTCATTACGGTGTACAGCCTTATCCCGCTCGTTCATTTTACACAGGACAAACTAGTCTGCCTCGGGGGGGAAACTCACCCCGCTTATGTTTGTGGGGGAGGCGTTCACAGATGAATGTGGCATGAATGTTAGCAATTGTGTCCGAGGCCTGTAGTAGCAATCGTAATACGAGTAGTAGTACCAATCGTAGTAGTAGTCGTAGTCGCTATCTTAGTTGTAGTTGCCGTAGTAGTACTACTAAGGATTCGAATGGTGGTCGTTGTAGTAATCCTAATAATAATGATACTACTAATAGTAGTAGAAGTAGTAGTCGTAGTAATATTAGTAAGATTATTATTATTACTAGTAGTAGTAGTAGTAGTGGCAGCTGTAATTGTAGTTGTAGTTGTAGCTGTAATAATAGTAGTCGTAGTAGTCGTAGTAGTCGTAGTAGTAGTAGTAGTAGTAGTAGTAGTAGTAGTAGTAGTAGTAGTAATAGTAGTAGTAGTAATAATAATAATAATAGCAGTGGTAGTAGTAGTACTTATAGTCACCAAAATAAGACTCGTAATAGGAATAGCCGTTGTGGCAGTAGCCGCAAGAGTAATACTGGTAACAATGGTAGTACTCGAATAAGTAGAACCCGTGGAAGCCGCAGTAGTGGTGTTAGGAGCCATGGTAATACTCGCAGTCGCAACGGTAGTAGCAGAAGTAGTAGTATACGTAATAGTAATGATAATAGTGGTCGTAATCGTAGTAGTAGTAGTAGTAATAATAATAATAGCAGTAGTAGTAGTAGTAGTAGTAGTAGTAGTAGTAGTAGTAGTAGTAGTAGTAGGCCAGCACGCCTGAAGGATAATGCCCAGCAGGTTCCAGGGCCTGGGCAGGCCACGTGAGTCCATGCCAAATTGTCTACTTGCCACTCTCTGTGGTACGGCGGGCCCGCAGCGGCACCCCCCTCGCGTGGCGGCACCTATGGCCTTTGCCTCGGCTCGGCGCATGACTACCTGTGCGCCCAGCCACCTTGGCTCGCCAATTGGCTTGCCATCTCGGCCTCCTCACGCTCACTTGCGCTCGTTGGCCTCGCTGGCGGTGCTGGGGCAGCCCCGTGTACTGCAGCGTCGCCGTCAGGCGCCTGGCCATTTTGGCCTGCCATCCTGGCCTCCTCTCGCGCCTTCTTGCGCTTGTAGGCCTGGATGGCGGTACTGGGGTCGCCCCGTGTGCTGCTATGCCGCCGCCAGCGCCTTACTTTTTGCTGTAGGGACCAGCTGCCCTCGGCCAGGCGCCTGCTGCTGCATGCACGTCAGACCCGCCCTTGGCTTGTCATCCAGGCCTTGCCTCGCGTCTTCTCGCGCTAGTCGGCCTGGGTGGCGGTACTGGGGTCGCCCCGTGTGCTGCTGTGCCGTTGCTGGCGCTTCACTCTGGGCCGTTGGTCCAAGTGCCCACAGTGCGAGCGCCTGACGATGCAAGCATGTCAGACCCGCCCTTTCACCCAGAAGAGGTGCGTGCTACATACTGGCAATGAGGCAGCCACAAGGACGCCCTTCCGTAGGTGGTTGAGCCGTGGTGATGTGGTGCACGAGACCGCCAGTAGTAGTAGTAGTAGTAGTAGTAGTAGTAGTAGTAGTAGTAGTAGTAGTAGAAGTAGTAGTAGTAGTAGTAGTAGTAGTAGTAGTAGTAGTAGTAGTAGTAGTAGTAGTAGTAGTAGTGATAGTAGTAGTAGTAGTAGTAGTAGTAGTAGTAGTAGTAGTAGTAGTAGTAGTAGTAGGGTCACCCGTCGTCTATGGCCGGCCTGTTTATGGCCGGTCGTTTGGTTGGGTTTCTATACAGGTGTACGAAAACCCGATATAAACTACGCGTCCTCACACTTGACTTATGGCCGGCACGCTGTGAGGAATCCTAAAGAATTCTATAAGAATCTCCAGGGATTCTCCAGGAAGCCGAAGGAATTCCCAAGGAATCCCAAGGAATTCTCCAGGAATCCCAAGGAATTCCGGAGGAATCCCGAGAAATTCATCAGGAATCCTCAGGAATCTCTAAGGAGTCTTGAGGGTTTCTCCAGCAATCCGAAGGAAGGTCCCCCTGGAATCTTAAGGGATTCTTCAGGAAGCTTCAAGGAATCCGAAGGAATCCTGGGGAATCCGGAAGGAATCTTAAGGAAATCCTCAGGAATCCTTCGGAATCCCTGCGGAATCCTCAGGAAACCTAAGGAATTTTGAATCCTCAGGAATTCTGAAGGAATCCCAAGGAATTCAACAGGAATCCTAAGGAATCTCAAAGAAATCCGAAGGAATCCTAAGGAATCTGGAAGGAATCCCAAGGAATTCGGCAGGGATTCTTAGGAAACCTCCAGGAATCTGGAGGAGTCCCCGACGAATCCGAAGGAATCCTTGAGATTCCATATGAATTCACAAGGAATCCAAAGGAATTCGCAAGGATTCCTTAGGAATTCTGAAAGAATCCTAAGGATTTCTCAAAGAATCGTACGCGTTTTCCAATAGAAAACTAATAGAACCATTGGTTTCCAATAGAAAACTAATACAAACTATTGGTTTCCAATAGGAAACTAATTAAAAAAACAATTGGTTTCCAATCGAAAACAAATTACAACCATTGGCTTCCAATAGAAGACTGATAGAAACAATTTGTTTCCAATCGAGAACTGATTAAAACCATTGGTTCGAACAGAAAACTAATTAAAACCATTGCCTCCCAATAGAAAATTAATAAAAAACCATTGGTTCCCAATAGAAAACTAATTAAAACAATTGGTTTCCAATCGAAAGCTAATTAAAACCATTGGTTCCCAATATAGAACTAATAAAAGATATTTGTTCCCAATAGAAAACTAATTAAAACCATGGGTTCACAATAGAAAACTAATTAAAACTATAGGTGTTCAATAGAAAACGAAGCCAAACCATTGGTTTTCAAGAGAAAACTAATTAAAAACAATTGGTTTCCAATAGAAACAAAGAAACCCAAACCCAAACCCAAACCCAAACCCAAACCCAAACCTCACCGGCCATAAGTCAGGTGTGACCCTAGTAGTAGTAGTAGTAGTAGTAGTAGTAGTAGTAGTAGTAGTAGTAGTAATAGTAGTAGTAGTAGTAGTAGTAGTAGTAGTAGTAGTAGTAGTAGTAGTAGTAGTAGTAGTAGTAGTAGTAGTAGTAGTAGTAGTAGTAGTAGTAGTAGTAGTAGTAGTAGTAGTAGTATAGTAGCAGTGGTAGTAGTAATAAATGTATTAGTAGTCGTAAGAGCACATACTGCAGTGGTGATACTCTTATTCTAACGATTCGTTGTCGTAGTAGTCGTAGTAGAGTCGTAACCATAGTAGTGGCAGTCGTAGTGGTAGTCGTATTATATTTAAACTTATAATTATTATTAATATTATTATTAATAGTAGTAGTACTAGTAGTAGTACTAGTGGTGGTAGTAGTAGTAGTAGTAGTAGTAGTAGTAGTAGTAGTGGCAGAAGAAGAAGAAGTAGTAGTAGTAGTAGTAGTAGTAGTAGTAGTCGTAGTCGTAGTAGTAGTAGTAGTAGTAGTAGTAGTAGTAGTAGTAGTAGTAGTAGTAGTAGTAGTAGTAGTAGTAGTAGTAGTGGTGGTAGTAGTGGTGGTAGTAGTAGTAGCAGCAGCAGCACTGATAGTAACTGCGGAATATCGAGTGGATCGACAGGAATTCTCTTGCCTTTCGCGAACACCGCCCTGCAGGATAAGGACGATCGAAAGATCGACTAACGACAAACATCGGAAGCCGCAAGGCTGCTGGGCTACGGGTTGAGGCCGACCGCGAACGTGTCCTGTCCCTCTCGTCTTCTTGCTCCTCCTTCTTCCGTGTTCTCCTCCACCTGGCCCTCCACCTGGCCCTCCTCTACCTCCTCCTCTTTCTCTCCTCCTCCGCAATATCATCAGCATACGTATCCCTGCCCCTTCTTGGTATATGATCCTACTCAGCCCCGCAGCCGTCCGAAAGCCACCCCATGCCGTGACCCTCCATCCTACGTTTGAAAAACTATCCTGGCGACCGGCCCAACCATATACTGTTGTGAATATCGCCGTCGTGGGTATCGTCTTCGGTGGATCTATTAATGGGGCCACGAAGAGTGTAAAGGATGTGCTAAATGGGGCGGGGACGCATGCAGGCGCAGCCATTGGGGCCTTCGGTGACGCTCCATATTGGGCCACGAAACGTGTGTGGGGTGTGCCGCAATGGAGCGGCGGGAGACTCATGCGAACGTCGCCACTGGGGCCTTCGGTGGAGCTTCCTATGGGGCCACGAAACGTGTGACAGGTGTGCCAAAAATGGGTGCGGGGCAGCCACGCGAACGCTGCCACAGGGGCCTTCAGCGGAGCTCCCTATCGGGCCACGAAACGTGTGAGGCATGTGCCAAAAATGGGCGTAGGGCCGCCATGCGAACGCTGCCACTGGGACCTTCGGGGGAGCTCCATATGGGGCCACGAAACTTGTGGGGGGTGTGCCAAAACAGGTGCGGTGCAGCCATGCGAACGCTCCCTCCGGGGCCTTCGGTGGAGCTCCATGCGGGGCCACGAAACGTGTGAGGGGTGTGTGCACAAATGGGTGCGGGGCAGCCACGCAAACGCTGCCACTGGAGCCTTCGGTGGAGCTCCCTATGGGGCCACGAAACGTGTGAGGTGTACGTGTGTGTGTGTGCCAAAACGGGTGCAGGGCCGCCATACAAACGCTGCCACTGGGGTCTCCGGTGGAGCTCCCTATGAGGCCACGAAGCGTGTGAGGGGCCGCCATGCGAACGCTGCCGCTGGGACCTTCGGTGGAATTCCCACTGAGGCCACGAAACGTGTGAGATGTGTGCCGACATGGGCGGCGGAGACTAAGCTGAGATCGAACAGGAAGAGGAGGAAGAGGAGGAGAAGGAGGAGAAGGAGAAGGATGAGGAGGAGAAGGAGGATGCGGAGGAAAAGGACGAGGAGGGGAGGAGGAGGGGAGGAGGAAAGAGTGAGACGCGGGGCGCTGTCTCTTCAAGACGAGGACCCAACAGCAAAGGATGGTTCGGAAAAACCAGACACAGTCTACAATTTTCGTTTCAACATGGGCTTTCTGTTGTCGACGCTGCAGAATGCACGGCAGGAGCGGGACGCGGCGCGCATCCCGAGCGAAAAGCCTGAAAGTCGCTCTCGCCTCGGCGCCGCGCTGATTTTTCCAGGGATCTGAATTCCCGCCGTGGCGCGGCGCAGGGTTGTCGCACGCCGCGTCGTCGATGCGCGAACGGAAGAACATGCAGTTCTCGCCTCGGCGCCGCGCAGGTTGCGCCTGACAGTGGCGCTGCCACCCGGGCGCAGCGCGTCTTTTTCACTCGCCAATCCCGGGTATATGTGTGTGTATGTGTGCGTCTGTGTGTTGTGTGGGTGTGTTGTGTGTTGTGTGTGTGTGTGTGTGTGTGTGTGTGTGTTGTGTGTTGTGTGTTGTGTGTTATGTGTTGTGTGTTGTGTGTTGTGTGTTGTGTGTTGTGTGTTGTGTGTGTGGGTGGGGGGGGGGGCAGGGCTCGCGCGAACGGGCGCCCTGTCGCCCTTGTTACTAAGGCCACGTGCGCATGTCGCTCGGACATGGCGCGGCCCGCGCGGGCGCGGGCCAGGGCTCGTGCGCCGCCTCGCGCGACGGCGGCAGCGCTCAGCGGGGTCGCGCGAGAGGGTGCCGACCTCGCCCCCGCGCGCCGCACAGCCGGTGAGTTGAAGCTGCGGTGCTGCGTCGGAGCGGCGCGTGCTTCGTCTTACTTCGGCGCGCCCCTCGGAAGTCTAGTCGCTCCCGCCTCGGCGCGGCGGGCGTAAGAGTTCCCTGGGCCACGTGTTCGGATCCCAAGACCAGGTGGTGCCACAATTGATTCTGATGTTATGGGAGGGAGGGTGGGAATAGGCGGCGCTCTCCGACTCGCTCGACCTGGCTGACTTGATACCCACTCATACTGATTTTCCTGATCTCCCTCCTCCTCCTCCTCCTCCTCCTCCTGCTCCTGCTCCTGCTTCTGCTCCTGCTCCTGCTCCTGCTCCTGCTCCTGCTCCTACTCCTGCTCCTCCTCCTCCTCCTCCTCCCCCTCCTCCTCCTCCTCCTCCTTCTCCTCCTCGTCCTCGTCCTCCTCCTCCTGCTCCTGCTCCTCCTGCTGCTCCTGCTAACCCTTCCCCCGCTTCCCTCCCCCCTCTTCCCTGCTCTTCCACGTGCTGCTCGCCGCTGGTGTCCTCTCGGGGGCGGCCAAGAGGGGGGCGTCGAAGAGGGGGGGGGGGCGCAATTCGTGGCCGGCGTCGTGCGCGCGGCCCAGGGCGGGGGCCAGGGACGCAATGAAATAAGCAGAGGCGCCGTGAAGTCTGGGGAGATACCACGGTATCATGGCCCCCGCGGAGGAGGAGGAGGAGGAGGAGGAGGAGGAGGAGGAGGAGGAGGAGGAGGAGGAGGAGGAGGAGGAGGAGGATTAGGGGGTGAGGAGTAGGAGGAGGAGGAGGATATCCCCCCCTCCCCCCTAGTCATCACCCCCCTCTTTGCCGCCCCCGATCCCCCCAGCCACTGGGCAACACAAAAAAAGGCCTGCCGAGGGAGCTGCCGCGGGCCGGCCCGCGCGTCGGACGCGCGCCCGCTCCCGGCACGGGAGGGGGGACGGGCCCGCAGGGAACCGCCGGCTCCTGGGCCTTTGGGGCACCCAGAGGAGGAGGAGGAGGAGGAGGAGAGGAGGAGGAGGAGGAGGAGGAGGAGGAGAGGGGAGGAGGAGAGGAGGGGAGGAGGAGGAGTAGGGGAGGAGGAGGATTAGAGGAGGAGGAGGAGGAGAGGAGGAGAGGAGGGGAGGAGGAGGGGAGGGAGGGAGGAGGAGGAGGAGGAGGGGGAGGGGGGTGGGTAAGGCTCGGGGGCGGGCCTCCTCGGTAGGCTCAGAAGGCCTCAGGCCTTCTGAGAAGCTCTTCAACAAGCCTCAGGTCGGGCCTGTCCCCCTACAGGGGGGGATGGTGGACGAAAACTCAAGAATACCCCCCACACATATACTCCAAAGATGCCCAAAAGTAGTCAAAACATGGTCCCCGGACTATCTTGTGACTGTCTTTGACTGTGCCCCCTGCAGAGGGGCAGGCCCGACGAAAAAAACACAAGCCTCTCCTCCTGAGCCCCCGGCGGGCTCCTCTGGAGGACGCCGGGCCTCTGCGGCGCACTGCCGCATCCCCTGCGGGGGCCCGCCCCCTCTTGCTCTTCCCCTCGAGCGCCGCCGGCCGAGACGGGCTCCTTCTCGATCCGAGCCGCTATTCGCTCGACGGCCCCGGGGGCCCCAGCCGTGGTTTCCTGGACGGCCCCGCGGCCCCAGGGAGGGCCCCCATCGTTGGGCGCGCGAGATGGGCATGGTTAAGTCGGGCGTGTCCCCCTACAGGGGGATTCTCGGCGACAAAGGAAAGATACCCCCAAAATGTTCCAGAATGGCCAACAGGTGCTCAAAAAGCAGTCCCGGGACTATTTGTTGGACTATTGTTGACTAGTCCTCCTGTAGAGAGACGGGCCCGACTTAAGGGTATGCGAAGATTTCAGGAGAGGAAAAAACACACACACACAGACACAATTAATCCTCGATTCCTTCGAAAATCTGGGAAGATATGGGAAGTGGGCGGGACGACAGACACCCAGAACAGATGGGAAAATATGGGGAATACTTTTATCTGTGTGCATTTGTTTGTGTGTCCTGGGGCCCCTTCAAGATCGGACACGATGCTCAGCAACGCATGCCGTCGAGGCCGACATCGGCCGCCGTTGGGCAGGCGGCCCCCCTGTCTCAGACCGACGGCGCCCGCAGCGGCGCCGACAGCACGCCCTGCCCGCCACGCCAGGAACCGCTGTCGGCCCTGGTGGCCCCCTCTCTGGCCATCGCTCGGACGTCCATTCCCTATGTTTTTTTCGGTTTCGTGCGTGGTTTTTCCTCCAAATGATCAAGGATGCTCCTCGATGGCCCTCCCCGAAGGAGAAGTGCACACGTCCGAGCGATGCCAAGCTCTTTCCGCGCACGCGCACTTCGATCGCACCCGCGAGCGACCCCGAGGAGCGGCGGCAGACCTCGGGCCCGGGAAGCTCCGCCCGCCCCCGGGCGCGCCGCTCCCCCGCCGGGCCGCCCGCCGCCCGCCGCCCCGCTCCCCCCCCCCCCCCCAGTCCCCGCCCGCCCGCCGGCCCGCCCCCCTCCCCCCCGTCCCCCGCCTCGCCGTCCTCCTCTCCTCCTCCTCCGTCCTCTTCCTCCTCCTTTCCTCTCTCCTCCTCCTCCTCTCCTCCTCCTCCTCCTCCTCCTCCTCCCTCCTCCTCCTCCTCCTCACCTCCTCTCCTCCTCCTCCTCCTCTCCTCCTCCTCCTCCTCCTCCTCCTCTCTCCTCCTTCCTCACTCCTCCTGCTCCTCTTCCCCCCCTCTTCCCCCCCCCCCCCCTTTTCCCCACCTCCCTCTCCTCCTCCTCCTCCTCTCCTCCTCCTCTCCTCCTCCTCCTCCTCCTCCTCCTCCTCCTCCTCCTCCTCCTCCTCATCCTCTCTCCTCCTCCTCTCTCTCCTCCTCCTCCTCCTCCTCCTCCCCCCCCCCAGGGCTCACCACGCCGCCTCGCGGCGGGCGCTCGCCGGCCCGCCCTCGCCCCCGCGACGGCCCCGCGGACGGCGCCCGGCCCCTGGCCCCGCGGCGCGCTTCCCGCCCGCGCCCCGCCTCTTCGCCCCTCGGAGGCCATGGGGAGGCGTGGCCGGCGGCGCGCGGCGCGCGCGGCCGGAGAAAGAACCCAGGGGAGGAGGAGGGGGAGGAGGAGGTGGAGGAGGAGGGGGAGGAGGAGGAGAGGAG